AGGTGGCTGCGTGGTACGGGATGGTTCCAAAGAAAGGAGTGAGGAGCAAGATGGACCCCGGGGCAGGATGTAGACAGGTCAGCCTCTGTTGGGGAGAATTCAGACTCTCCAGAGCAGAAGCCAGAAAGAAGGTGGCACGTTCCTTCTGGAGAGGAAGATGGGGACCAGGTTTTGAAGGATCTCCTGAACGGAAAGCTAGTAAAGGGTTCCACGTGGGTGGTTCTGGTGGGTGTGGGGTGGGGGTCAGAGGGACAGGGCAGCAATGCTGTGCTGCACTGGGACAGGTCAGGGGCTGCTGGGGAAGGGCTGCGGGAGGAAGAGGAGGGTTGGCTCTGGAGAGATTTGTAGGTGGACATGGAGGCTCACTAGACACAGGGCCACCAGGACTGTGGGAGGTGATGGTGCCCTTGGCCATGTGCAGACTCTAATAGTGAAAGTGCCCAAGCAGTGCACCATTTAATAAGTAGGATTCAGAAACCTTCCCCACAGAGTTCCCTCTCCTTAAATACTGAGATAAAATCATGAAGGTTCTGACCTGCAGCCGGTAGCTCAAACTGGATATTAATGGCTGAAGCCATAATGCTCCCCAAAGGTGAGAATGTCCCAAATTAGGCCACATGGAGTAGGGAACAGAGATGCATTGATGACGTATGTGGCCCTGTCATTCGAAGAGCCTGAAGAAGTCTCCTTGGTGAGTAGCTTTCTGTTGTCCATAGTATCCCTGTCAGGTAGGAAGGATGTGCTGATTAGAAACAATACATGGGATGCCTGTAATCCCAGCACTCTGGGAGGCAGAGGCGGGCAGATCACTGGAGGTCAGGAGTTCAAGACCAGCCTGGTCGATACAATGAAACCTCATCTCTACTAAAAATACAATAAAATTAGCCGGGTGTGCTGCTGGGCGCCTATAATCCCAGCTACCCAGGAGGCTGAGGCAGGAAAATCGCTTGAACCCAGGAGGTAGAGGTTATAGTGAGCTGAGATCATGCCCATCCATTCCAGCCTGGATGACAGAGCAAGACTCCATCTCAAAAAAGAAAAAAGAAACAACACACATTTCAGAGGGAGGAAAGAAAACATGGCACCCTGAGCTCTCATGGAGGGGAACTCATGGATGGAGCCCGTGGCCGTCTCTGTTCTTTCACTGTCCACTTCTGTGGGAAGCACTGACCGAGGTCCAGCTACGAGGCAGGTGCTTCCCTGAGGGCTGGAGATGGTGAATACCAGGCATAAGGCCCCCGACCCAGGAAGCAGAGCAGGTCCATGAGGGACATGGTAAAGTCAGTTTGACGCAAGTGGTTTTGTGACCAGAGTCTCCTCTTCCTGACAGCTTTCCCAGACTCATTAGTTCAAATGTCTTCAACTTTTTACTGAAATTTTGGCTTTCAGATCAGATCAGAATCTGAATTCTGGCTTTACAGTTACTAACTGTGAAATGACTTGTCTTATTTTTTCTTTCTTTTTGAGACAGGATCTCACTCTGTGGCCTCACACTCCTGGGCTCAAGCGATCCTCCTGCCTCAGCCTCCTGAGTAGCTGGGACTACAGGTGCACACCGCCATGCCCAGCTAATTTTATTTTTTGTAGAGATGGGGTCTCATTATTTTGCCCAGGCTGGTCTCCAACTTCTGGGATCAAGTGATCCTCTTGCCTCAGTTTCCCAAAATGCTAGGGTTACAGGTGTGAGCCACCACGCCTGGCCTGACTTGTTTTCTCTTATCCTCAACTTCCAAATCTTTCAAGTGGAGCTCGTGTTCCCAAAGGGGTCATGAGGACTCTGGGTTAAGGAGGGGAAAGCCGGCTCTCTGCACCGCAAATCCAGCAGGGGCCTCATCCATTGTAACGTCTTTCTTTCCTTTTCCGGCACCGTCTATTAGAATCATCTCTCGCAAATACCACATAATAGACCATTTTCTTGCTCAGTAAGTTTTTAGTATATAATGTATAAAACTGAAATTTTGGAGCTAAAAAAATGGTCAAAAGTTCTGCAATTCTCTGTGGTTTACCTAATAATTTGTTTATGTTACCATCCAATATTCTTTAAGTAGAGCTTTGCAATCTCTATTCTTACAAGAAACAACATGTAAACACACAGAAGTGAAATACGAGTGTGAGTCTGTAGAAATGTTTGTGTATGTGGATTCCTCCGTGGCTTAGGGGCAGGCACAGTTTCATCCTCCTGATGCCTTTAAAAATATCTTCTAAAGCTCACATGTGGTGTTGAGTGTATATTTCAGTGAGTGGTTCTAAGAAAATGCTCCCCATAAATGAGCGCGCTGACATTGGCCGTGACCAACAGTTACCACCCAGAAACTTAGTGTTTATTCTCAGTCCCGCGGGGCAGCGTCCCAGCTGTGAGCTCCGCAGGAGGAGGGATGATGCCCTTTGGCTGCCAAAGTTTACTTAGAGTGGGGACCAATGGGAATGAAAACAGAAACTTCAGGGTAATGTTTGTTATGGCCTCAGAAGCTGAACAGAGCACAAGAGATTAAATCAAGCGCAAGTAGAATTCTGAAAAGAATGGTCTACACTACGTGCGATGTGCACATAACAAGGTGGACACTTCAGTTATTAACGCTTCTGATAAATTTCCTGTATGACACTTAAAGTTTATAAAGCACTTTCAACCATGATTGAACTTTCAGAAAACCTATGAGATGGGTAGAGGTGGCCCTGCTTTACAGATAATAAAACAGAGACATCACAAGTCTTAAGTGGTTTGTGCAGTCCCATAGCTGATAATCAATTTCGAACCGAAACTCAGGTCTTGACGTTGACCTTCATGCTCTTTCTGACATCATACATCCTCCCTCATTAGTATCCAATGAGGCTTGACTGTCAGCTCCAGGTGGGTGCAGCACCGAAGTCTGTGTCCCACAAGTTACTTTCTCCATGCTCCTGTCACCCCTGACCCTCCTGCTCCTCAACTTCCTTCCTCCAAGGCCCTTCCAGGAGAGGGTGTGGCCTCTGGCAGCAGCTTCCCAGCAGGTGTTTTCCCCTGTTGCAAGTTCTCGGAGGGATGGTAGGAATAGTTATTCCACAGCAAGCCACGCTGTTGGGGAAAATAAGGTACTCCTTTTGGAGAAGGGACAAACCAAAGACCCAAAGAAGGGAAGAGCCTGTTCACATTTTCCCATCCAGCCATGCACAGAGCAGCTTCTTCCCTGAAGATCGCCTTGGCTGTGGTGAAGAACCCTCTCTTGGTAGAGAAGTGGGCTGTGCTTTGTGCTTTTTCAGGGTGCAAAGCCTGGGTTCTGGGGGCTGGCGCAGGCTGCAGAGCGCTGTGAGGTTCAGTCCATTGTCACTCCCGGGTGTTCCTGCTCCCTCCGGGGAGCTCTCTTTCCCCCTTGCATTTAATAGCTCTTGGATACAGCAAAGCTGTCCTGAGTGAAGATTTTCAGCCTTGCCTTCTGGGGTGATAGAGTAGGAAGATTATCTATTGGTTTTTTGTTTCTTGGCCGCCTTTCAATTCTGATTTTTGATGAGAGAAACAGTTGAGACAGCTTTGTTTTGTGTTAACGATGGATTGGTTCGCCCTTTTGGAAGTGGACTGGGCAGTTCAAACAGCAGACACTTAGTGTCTCTCCGTTCTGGGGGCGTGAAGCCCAAGGTCAAGGTCTTGGCGGCGCTGGTGTCTCCGTGGCTCTCTTGCTTGCCTCCTCCCTGTCCTCACATGGCCTTTCCTCTGTGCACACAGGCGGCCCCGGTGCCTCTGTGTATTCAGAACTCCTCGCCTTCTAAGGACAGCAGTCAGAGCGGATGAGCACCCACTCCAAGGCCTCATTTAATGGAATCCCCCTTTTAGAGGTCCTGTCTCCAAACACAGTCACTGTCTAAGCCCCAGAGGTTAGGACTTCATCATATGAATCTGGAGAGGACGCAGTTCAGTCCATCATAGTTAATTTGGTTTACTGGGTTATGATGAAATATTGGGTTTATAAGCTCAACCAGAGAGTCCAGGTCTGTGACACGCAAGTCAAATTCACGTGCTCCCAACACTCTTATCTGAATCTGTGCCCATTCATACTGAATCTCTATCCTGGAGCTGGTGCAAACTAACATGTTCATAGCATAAATAACCCTCATAATGCTAAGCGACTCTTTCCAAATGCGAAGCTGCATCCCAGTAACATAGGCATTGGGTTTGCAGGCAGAGCTGTTGTACATCCCCAGAGAAAGTAGATACCTAAAGTGTCTAACTTGGAGTAAGTTTTCTATCTCCTGTGCCAGCCCATCTCTTACCACCCCTGCATCAAATGAGTCCTCTGTCTGCCGATTGATAGCTAAATTACCTTCCTGAAAAGACTGCCCCCACAATGGCAGCCAAACCTTAGAATGGCAATATCCCAGAAAAAAGAATGCCAGTGAAATGAACATACATGAAACAGAGAATTCAACACCTATAATAATCTTCAAAGATTAAAAAAAAATTGATAAAATTTTAGGTGGTTTCTGATTTTAAAATATTAAGTAGGTGAAAATAAGGAAATATTCATAATGTGATCAATAATACCTATCTTTACTCAATTCTGTCCCATTAAATCAGGAACAAAGCAAGGATCCTCACTAGCCCCATTAAGAATTCGTGTTACATATGTTTATCGCGGCACTGTTTACAATAGCAAAGACCTGGAACCAACCCAATGCCCATCAATGATAGACTGGACAAAGAGAACATGAGACATATACACCATGGAATACTATACAGCCATAAAAAATGATGAGTTTGTGTCCTTTGTAGGGACATGGATGAATCTGGAAACCATCATTCTCAGCAAACTGACACAAGAACAGAAAATCAAACGCCGCATGTTCTCACTTATAGGCTGGTGATGAACAATGAGAACACATGGACACAGGGAGGGAGCATCACACATTGGGGTCAGTTGGGGGTCAGCTAGGGGTGGGACAGTGGGGGGCAGGGAGGGTAGGGAGGGATAACATGGGGAGAAATGCCAGATACAGGTGATGGGGGGATGGAGGCAGCAAACCATCTTGCCATGTATGTACCTATGCAACAACCCTGCATGATCTGCACATGAACCGCAGAACCTAAAGTGCAATTTAAAAAATCGTGTTAATGAGGTATTGAACTGGAGTGAAGTGTCCTGAAATAGTTTTTCAGTATTTACTGTATTATAGAGGGAGCACCAAAAATGCGAGAGACCTGTACTATTCAATGAAACGTGTGGGAAAATTAATATGGATAAGGAAGTCCCTCACTTCATATTGTACTCCAAAACAATTTCCAGATGGGTCAGTCGAATAAAAATACCTGCATTATAAAAAAGAACATGCTCTTGAATATTTAACTGATTTCAGGAAAAGTAAGAGCTTTGTAAGCATATAAAAACTAGAAAGAAAATCTCACAAAAAGGAGACTATTTGATTTGACTTACTAAAATACTGAAAACTATTAATATGTCAAAATTTTAAAATAAGGCAAATAGACCAGAAAATATAAATGTAATTTATAATTAATAATTCCCTGGAATTATTAATAACCTGCTAGCCCTTGCACAGAGGAGATGTTCAATAAGATGCATATTTACGGCTACAGCCTCTGTTCAGAAAAGAAGAAAAAAATAGGAAGCAAATACTTTCTTTCCAGGGTAGTGAAGTAAAAACCATCCTCCCTGAGTGGCCTTGGCTCTGTCCTGTGCCAATCGTCTTCCTGAGGATGGCCCTCTCACCCCTGCGCCGCCACCCCCTCACCCAGAGCCTTCCAGAACGGCGCTGAGGTCAGCAGGGAACAGCTGGGGGAGACCGTACGTGCAATTAGTTTTGTCAGCCTGTGTTTAATTTAAAAACATAATGAGCGATTCCATACAGTTTTAATTTTGGTTTTTAATTAATAGGGCTGAAATTGGAAAATGGCATTTTTGTCTTAATATTTTTAGCCTATGTGACTTGCTTTTCTTCACGCTCATTAGTGCTTCATTTTGAACACCTTTCCAATGTGCACAGTCAGCTGATGACTCAGTGATCCCCATGGAAGCACCACAAAAGCGGGGGTTGTGGGGAGCTTCCCACCTCCCAAGGGTCACTGAGGCCACAGCATGTGCAATTCTGGGCAGCCTGTGGATGTCGTTGGTGGGTATCTAAGTACTCAGTCACATGTCAGGCGGGTCCCCAGCATGCCTGCCCTTTGCCCAGAGCACCCCACACTGACCCATGCGTCTTGTACAGAGCAGGGACGAGTTCCAGAGAGAGTCTCTCTCTAACGATGATGTTGAGGGATACGGAAGGTTTAGGGGCCTTAAGTTTCTCAGACTTGAAGAGTTCAAGCTTCCCTTGCACAGATGAAGGTCAGAATTGCCAACTTCAACACCACAAGCCACTCTGGAACTGCATAGGGAACCCTGGCCCTCCCATCCCACAGGTCATCATTGTTACCTGTGCCCCCAACTCCCTGAGCCCTGGGCTGGCCCTGCCAGGGTGTCCTGGGACATCCTGACATAGAAGATGACTTTTGTCAAGTAGTCCGGCCTCATTGTCTAAAAAATTTTCAGTGTGTGGTTTTGAAGTGGCCTCTGACTCCCGCCCCCCATGCTGTCCTGCCCCTGTCCTATGTCATCTGTGGGATCTGCGTAAAGTGAAGTGTCCATGAAACTCCGGAGAAGGACAAAGCAGCAGGCAGCGGAGTGACGTGGCGACCAGCTCTGCAGCTGCAAGAGTCTCTGGGGCTTGGCCTGGGAGGCCTTGTGACCTCTGCGTGCAGTGTCCAAGGCTGTTGGGTGTCACACGCATAGTCACGGACACACCCTGGCTCAGCAGGGCTGACCCTGCTTCCTCACCGAGGCCATCAACACAAATCACGCCAAAATTCCGCCCCTGCTTCAGAACAATGAATTCCTCCCCACTGGCCTTGCTGCAGAAACGCATATGCAGTTTGAGTTTTCTGTCTTAAGGCCTTTCATAGGCATTCGTGCAACTTCCGGCCTCAGAAGCAGAACTCGCCCTGCTCTCAAGTGAGCAAAACCTGCCTGCACCTCTGAGGCGAATTCGCACCAGGGCTCAGCCTCCGCCCATTCTTCTCCTCCGACCTCCGACACGCTCTCCTTAGAAACCACACGGCCCAGATATTTGGCTCCTGTCTTTTTAATCATCTGTCCAGTGCTCTGCAGAGCCTTCCTACAAACCCCTGAATCAATCATCATCATAACCGCCCACGAGCACCTCCTCTTGTGATTCCCATGAGGGATTCGTGTCGTTAGTTTCAGGCAATGCGAGCGTATTCCTCCTTTTCTACAACCAAGGAATGTTGTTATATTTGATCCTCATCTGTACTATCTTTTGGTGAATTTACTTTCATTACTGTTATTGAAAAGAAGACACTTTTCTCTCCTCGTGTCTGCTTAAAGCCTCCCTCGTGTTTTTTAGGCGATGGTCAGTAGCAGGACGATGGTCACCTGACACTGATTTACTTGGCTCGACGACTCTCGTACCCTTCTATGACTTGGCTTGTGATTCTGCGAGTTTCCAAACAGAAAGCTATGCCCTTGCCTGGGCAGGGGTTTCCTAGCCCACGATGAAGGTCTCCTTTTCCTTATGTGGCTCCTGAGACCTGGGGCCAGGAGTGACTGGTGCCCCGCAGCTCCAGCCCTGCTCCCCCTTCCCCATCTCTGCCTTGGTGGGGTCTTCCAGTCTCCTAGGTGAGGAAGCAGCTGGGGGAGTTCAAGGTCTCAACCAGCGAGCCAGAGACTCAGATTCTGGGCTTGGGGCCCTGAGGACAGAGCGACCACCCTGCACCCTTTCTCTGAGTCAGAGAGAGTCTCACTAAGCCCCAGTGCCGCAAGAACAGCTCTGCTGATTGAGGGCCGCCTGTTTGCCAGGGCTTTCACAAGCTCCGGTGAATCTGGTCAAAAGCCCTGGGAGGCGATGGCACCTCTCTGAGCCAGGGGCCGGGGATGGGGGCCCTTCCTGGCCTGCCCTTCCGCATGGGGAATTCTGGCCCATGGATGCAGAGAGGCAGTCTCCACAGCAGGTGAACTGCGCAGTGCGGCAATTCCTTCAGTTGCCTGTGTGGATGAATACGACCTCGGCTGGGAGCTCCTGAAAATCGGGGAGCAGCTTCATATGGTCTTTCTATCCCTGTTTCCATCCCAGAGCCCAGGGCTGGAGGTAGAGGCAGAGTCGTATGAGCACTTGCTGGGCCGCTCCATTCCAATCGCTGCCCGCCTGCTGAGGGCCTCCCACCTGCAGAGGCCCCACTGGAGGGGAATGACCGTGTCTCATTCAGGAGGCACGGACCCGTGGGAGATGCCCCTGTGACCAAGCCACACCACTCAGGCAGGGCAGGGGAGGCGACTGGGGTAACCGAGCTCCGCCCCCGCTCAACCCTTCACAGGGAAGACGCCTTTGGGTTGAACCGAACAGCATTTCCCAGACCATCATCCTGCCCACTTCCTCTTTCTACCCCCTTCACCTTCTTCACTGCCTCTTCCCTCCCTCCCTTCCACCTTCTCCCAGGAGTTGCTAACACCAGACCCCTCTGTAAATGATGTCCTTGTTTCCTTTGTGACTTTATCCATGTAGCATTTTCTTAGCAATGAGCTGTGTTTCACCTGTTTTTGATGCGTGTGTAAACAAGCTGTCCATGAGCTTCCACCACATCCCTCTTCCTTTGCTCCTGGTTCTCGGTGTGCGCTTCCCATGTTTAGAGGTGTGTGCTATGCACACTCCGGCGCCTGTGCTCGCTGCTGTGGAGTGTCCTGCCACGTGCATCTGCTGCAGGGTGCACGGTCCTTCCACCATTGCTGGAGATTGTGGTGACGTCGGGTGTGTGGCTGTTCTGCAAAGGCAGCCGCAGCTATTCCTGGGCGCGTCTCCGGGCACACCTACCGGTGCTCTGCCCACGTGGTCCTGAGGTGTAGTTGCTGAGGCGTGGGGCCTGCACCTCTTCAACCTGATGAGATTGCCATTTTCTAAAGCGGGGGCACCCTTTCACGTGCTCACCAGCTCCACATGGGAGTCCTGGCGGCTTCATGTGTTTCCAACCTTTGACAGTCAGCAGGATCTCACTAGCTACCAGATATTTTGAATTGTTGCAAGAAACACATGTTTGTCTTGGTTCTTATGGAGAGTTTTAATTTTTTATTTGGTACCTTCTATGAAGCTAGGACCTTTCCTGCCTGGCCTTTAGTCACCCACCCTGCTCTGCCTCAGATCTGCCAGCTAGGCATGCAGCCCCCAGCCAAGGCTGTGGGAGAATCCTCTGCAGGCCAGCCCAAGTTGGCAGGGCAGCAACTAGGGATGGACATGGGCACCGGGAGTCCACTCTGTTTGTTTCCTGACCTGTTTGTACCACTTTGCACACATGGCATCATTCACCACATTTCACTGACTCCGGGTACAAATATGTGTCTGCACGTTGTCACTGCCGTCAGTGTGGGCAGTGCGGGGATGCTTGTCATGTGTCCTTGGCAAGACGTTTCCTTTCTGCAGAGCATGGAAACTCCTGATGCATCTCATAGTCAGCTTTACCCTAGATTCACTGAGGTATGATCGTTAATTACTATGATCTGATGAACTTTGAATAATAAAAAGAGAAATTTCTGTGGAAGGTAAATTAGATAGTTTGGAAATATGCAATATATACAAACAAAAATGAGAAGTTCTGTTGAAAAGGATTGGGTGACACAGTTGTCAGGTTTGGGGTTGGGGTGGGCTGTCAGGGTCTACAGGGATTCTGCCATCCAGTTGCTGTGCAAAATTCATTAGATTCTTCCCCTGCCCTCTACCTTGAAAATGGACACCTGGTAATTTTTTTTACATTTTTTTATAAGTGCTAAAGCCATTGGGGGAAAGGTTGAGGAGCTACTGCCCCACATCCTGCTTCCGAGTTACGGTGGGAAAGGTTATCTTCACAAAAGGAAGCCTGGCAGGCAGAAGCAGGTGTCTCCCGCAGCGGGGTGAGCTGACATGACAGGTCTCCTGATGTGACATGCAATGGCTAAAAATATTTCACCCTCATCTAGTTATGAAGAAACCACAAAATCAGTCCAGACTATGAAACATTCCACAATGCAGCTGCCCTGAATGCTTTGGTGACAAAGGTAAATGTCTCAACACCAACAAAACATGGACGCTGCTTTATTCAAGAATACTGTTGCAACTTGACAACTAAGTGAAAAACTTGATTTGTGATGGGATTGTGCAGAACAAGTCATTTTAAGGATATTTGGGGGAAGCTGGGAAATTGAATGTGTGCGGAATGTTAGGTGTGTAAATAGTGTTGTGGTTGTGTAGGAGCTCGCCTCAGGTGGATGCACACTGAAACGTTTTGGGTGAAGTGTCTGCTAGGATTAACCCACCTGGCAGTGGGGCCCGTGCCCTTTCAGGCTCAATGCAGCCATTCGAGGGTGCTTATTTCACATTCAATACTAGATGTAAAGCGTTGTGATAACTTTTATTGTAGTTCTGTAATGTTACCTGCAGAAAAATATCTAATGTTCAAGAGAGCCAAATGCAGCCGTGGGTAGGTTGTTCTCTATCTTTAATTCTAAACCTTTTCTTTCCAATGGTTCTGAGGCAAACATTCGTTAGAGGATTTGAGAATCTTTCACCCTGAAGTATAGGCAAGTGTTTTTGAAAACTTGACCAATATCATGGAAGAATAGTTCAGTTTAGATCAGAATGCAGTGTGCTATCACATCTTGTTATTCTTCCCTAGTTTCACAGTTGAGAAATGATTTTTCTTTGGGGAGTTCTGCTCAGTATCACAGTGAGAGGTGGAAAGAAGCCTGTTTAGACAGATTAAGAATATTCATGATTTTTGCACAGCCTTCTAAAATCCACAATTATAAGCATTTGAAAATATGTTTAAATAAAACATAAGTATTAATGAACATGTTTTATTTGCATTTTGTGAAACCAGTTCTTCCTCTAGACGTTCTTTTCTGTTCTCCAATGTTTCTCTTATGTGTGGTACTTCACTTACTGCTGTTCTTTCACCAGGTGGCCCCTACCTGGAGTTCATGTGCCGCTGAGATGGGATTTCTAGTAGCATTCCTTTCTCTCTTCCATCCATTCAGTGGATGAGATAAACTGAGAGTCACAGATAGAATGCTATTTGCTATTTTTATCAAGTGATCAAAATATGTGCAGGGCTTGGACTGCTATATTTCTGGTTATTAGTAAGAAAGCCAGGGAGACATCTGTACTTTTCTGGGAAGAGAAGGTGATTGATGCCAGCACTGAGCAGCCTCTCTAAATGGCTGATTGTGATACCGATTCCATCTTCTTGTGTCTGATTCGGTAACTGTGTTGGCCCAGCTAGACTGGACCTAAATCTCAGGGATGAGTTAAGTCAATGAGAATTATTTACCTTCTTAAAAAAGAAGTCATTAGGGTCAGCCAGGGTGGCTCATGACTGTGATCCTAACACTTTGGTAGGCCAAGGCGGGCAGATTACATGAGACCAGAAGTTCAAGACCAGCCTGGCCAACATAGTGAAACCCTGTCTCTACTAAAAATACCAAAACTAGCCAGGTGTGGTGGCACTTGCCTGTAATCCCTGCTACTCAGGAGGAGACACGAGAATTGCTTGAACCAAGGAGATGGAGGTTGCAGTGAGCCAAGATCATGCCACTGCACTCCATCCTGGGAGACAGAATGAGACTCCATCTGAACAGCAACAACAAAAATTCACTAGGAGAGAAAAATAGAATAATGGGCAATGCCCAGTGGCAGGTTCTGTGGCTCAGGGCTACCCTGGGAAGTCAGAGTGTCCACTGTGGGCAGCCCGGCAAATTGCCTGCTGCTGGGCCCAGCATGATGACGGCAGCCCAGCTAGCCAGGGCATCAGGCAGGGAGATAGGCAGCTGAGTTGCGCCCTGATGGAATATTGATGACATGTGAGTTTAATTATAGGGCTTGCCTGCTGAATTTAAAAAAGCTTCCATTATTCTACACTGATTAAGATGGAGCTTGAATCTCTCAGTACAATTCACCACTACCAGCATCTCTTCCGTGATGTCTGGGCCCTGTCTGAAATTACTAAGGACTCAGCTGTCCTCTAGCTGGGGAACCCAGGCAGGCCACTCGGCCACCAGGGATCAGAGTCGAGTTGGTCAGAGGGTGCTCCGACACTGACAGGTGTGCACACTGGTATTCAGGGACATGAAGATCATTATGGGCAAAAATAGGACATAACTTAATGATTAAGTCAAGAAATGGTGTCCAGTTCATGGTCGCACCATAGAGAAGACAGCCTCCATGTGGTTTTTGCTAAGTTCCCTGAAAAGAATTAAGTGCAAATGATCACATTCCTCATGGGAAACATTGAAATTGTCTTATGTTGAAGACTGTGTATTTGCAGCCATCCTTTGGGTAAAACTAGTTGTACACTTCCCAAGGACAGTTAATTTAAGATTCTGAATAAAATTGTGAACCAGGAAAGAAAACTGGAATATGAAATGCATATGGAAGCAAGTTCTTGGTGAGATGCCTTAAAAGAAAACAATAGCAAATGAAGAGAAGACATGATACCCCCAAGAGGCTCTTGCCACATGTAATGTGAAGGTGTTTTTCTTCTGTGAAATAATCTGAAACTCTGTCCTCTGACTTTTACTCTTCATATGTGAAGATGTTCAGAAAACAGTATTCTCATCATATCTATTTTAACATTCTTAAATTCTTCTAGCACTCAGTGTTGTTGAAAGTCTAGCAGCAAAAGTAAGTGAAGGGCTAGTGGATGCATGGCAGTGCGGAGAACTCGCTTGGAGAAGGCTGACGCTCCTGCATCCTGACTGCACGTTGTCAGCCGTTGGAGGCACAGAGCGGGATGGATCCCCAATGCGTGCCACCTGAACTTGTACAAGAGCAACAGCTGACACGTGGATCCCTCAGGTGCGACAGCCTTTTCCAAATGGGATCAGAGGAAGAGCTCTGATGAGGTGTGAGACAGAAGAGTTGGCTATGTTGTATGTGTACCTGCGAGCCAGACATCACTGCATAAACGTCATCATCATCAGATTGAAGCGTCCTGTGTACAGGCTGCTGTCACCTTTATGGATTCCAAAGATTAGTGGCATGTGGCACATGTGATCACTGCCAAAGGATGTCACTAACATTTCAAAGTGACAGCTAAAGTGCTTCAAGGAAATTTTCTCTCTGATAACCACCTTCGTAGCTTTCCTCGGATTTCCATTGTCTTTCCGTGAAGAATTGTCCACTTCTGAAAAATGTTAAGCTAAGCAACAAGAGGGCCCAATGGGTATTACAAACCCATTGCCAAGTTTAGAAATACATGAAAAACCAATCAACTGCAGATCTCTGATTTTATTGCTGGTAATAACCTGTTTTTTAGATACTCTTACATAATCCTGTGCATTGAGATAATTGCATAATTTGGTTAAAAAAATCTTTGAATTGCTGCCCACATGATCCAACACTTTTCTGTACTTGCTGAATTGTACAAATGCTTGCAGATGGAGCCTTTAGAAGTAGAGAATATGTTCTTCTTTTTACCAAATTATATATATATATGATATAACTATGAGATAAAGTAAAAAATACCAATTTTAAGCTGAGAAATCTGGGTTCTTATCTAAATTCTGATCTTCACATACCGGGGTGATGTGAGCAAGGCCCTGACATTTTCTGGTGGACAGCCTGGCTTCCACAGCTGCAAAGGCAGGACCTGGGTAACATGACCACATCACGGGGCAGGTCCCTGCAGTCAGGGGACCTTTGCCCAGAGCTGTCCATGGTCATAAGTTTAGGTGCTGAAACAATTTTTTTTTAAATGACCTATTCATACGTTCAGATTCAAAGTGTTAAACCCAACTACCTTGAACCTCATGGGTTCTGTTGAGCCACCTCAAATCCCGCTCAGCTGCCCAAATGAGACCTGCAGTTTCCAGGGTTCCAAGAAGAGCCTTTCTTACAGATGGCTCCGGAAGTCAAAAATCACTTAGAATTTCAGCCAGGACTGGAGACAGAGAGAGAACCAAGTCAGCGTGAGCCAGCGATTTGAGTGCTCCTGAACCAGCAGCGTGCCATCTATTTAGGCAAGCCTGACTCAGTTCACCCTCACACACAACCCTGCAAGTATATGCATGCCACTGGCCAGCCCCAGTGAAGGCAGGACACAACCTGAACAGTCGTGATTTCCTGACACTAAAGTGATGGCCGTGAAAAGAGAACATTGAACATGGAGCCCTCCTCCCTCCCGCCTCTAGACAGCTGTAGAATGCCCCCTCTTCTTGCTACCCCAGTTCCTGGCAGAAATTGAATGCTAGTATTGTTTCAGTGTCTATGAATAAGAACGTGGTGATGAAGGACTTCCTGTGGGAGACCCCAAAATAGAAACTCCAGGGGAGGCCTTATCTCATTTGCCCTGCAGTGGAGAGGGGCTCTGGCTCCGCACCTTGTGGTGCAAGTTAATTGTGCATCTTTTTGTAATTTCCAACAAAATGAATGAGCCTCGTCCTGAAGGAAGTTTCATGGTATATAAAAGTCCAGGGTTTTAAGGAATATGAGCCTAATGTCACCCTATCTGATATTTCTGAGGCCAGTGTTCTTTTAAAGGTAATAAAGATTTGTTTTCATAAGACTAACTCAGAGAGACTCTCTACCCTCCACGATGACCCACTACCTATTGAGATCATGTTGGACATGCAGTTCTGGAGTCTGGCTGGTGAGCCCTTTCAGCCTCTGGTAATGAGTTAGCAGAAAGACAGCCCTGCAGTCCGGTAGCAAAACAATTATGTGGGGTTCTACATGCTTTCCAAGGAAGCCACCATGGTCTCAGCTTTGACGTGCACACGAGCTCACCTGCTTGATGTGGAACCGGGAGTCCCTGTTTGTCTTCAGCTTACTGGGGCTACAATCCCATCCCATTGCACAGTCTTTTACTGAGCACCTCCTGCATGCAAGACATTGGCCTGGAGGTGGAGCTTGCATGGACGAGTAAGGTATCATTCCCAAAGATTTATTATGATAATAATTCTTCGTTACCCTTAAAAGACCATTGGCCTCAGAAATGTCAGATAGGGTGACATTAGGCTCTCATTCCTTAAAAATCTGGAAATTTATGTATCATGAGGAAGATTCCCTCAGCACCACGCTCATTTGTTTTGTTGGGAATTACAATATGCAGCATAGGATTTAACAGGGAGGATAACACAGAAACAGATTCTAGTTAGAACAAAAGTTAGAATATTACAGTCAACGCAGTAAAGTGCTCATGGTTTCATAGGAGAAATAAGTTTTATCCTAATGGGAAATGAGGAAATGCATGAACAAAAGGTCCTATTTGAGTTTGGACTTAAAAGATGGCTAGACGGTCTAAGAAGAAGGGAGAGGGGGGGGCGGGGGGGGAGCGCAGATGAGTGCAGGGGCAGGAACATGAGCAGTGGATGTGGAAATGCTGCCTGGTCCTGCTGGGTTGGGTGCGGAGCAGACTCTGGGCGGTGCGAGAAAAACTTGATACCCACGTGACAAATGAGGCCACGTTTAGAATGGCAGCTTGAATTATTGAGTCACATTGTGTGGTATGGATGACTGAAGGGCGGAGCAGTGGAGAGGGATAATCTGTCGGTGACATATTGACTAGACTGGAGGAGGGGCGAAAGAAGGAGCCCACTAGTAGGGCTGGCATAGGTGCCAGTGGCCTTAGAGAGACAGGTGAGTTTGTGAGATGGTGCAAGATGGATTCCACAGGCCTTGGTGATGGTGGAATGCCTAAGGGGTGTGAGGACACAGAGTGAGATGCTTCCTGTGCCAGCCACCCATGTTTTGAGTCGATGGTGGCAGATAGTCAGTGCCATCCCAAAGTTCAGGACCTCAGGACAACATGCAGACACCGGAATAATCACTGTCCTACAGATAGGAGTGGCGTGCAGATGGAGCCAGCTGCAGAGAGCTGGAAACAGGAGATTCTAGCTAGTGAATGAGGGCAGAGCTGGAAATAGAGATTTAGAAGTCGGCCACATGGCGGTGATAGGTGAAAATATTAAAATGGTGAGGCGTTCAGGAATACACAAACTCTCTCACTTGTTCAATCCAGAAATGTTTATTAAATGCCTGTCCCATCCCCACGCCAGCTGCCTGTTTGTCAAACGAGACATGGCTTCTGCTCTCAAGTAGTTCTTGCCCAGTCGCGGGTACAAAAGCAAATTGACCGTGCAGCAGTTGTGTATGGTAAGACGGAGGCGTGTACAATGTTCTCCAGGCCCTCAGAAAAAGAGCATGAAAATTGGGCAGTGAGGAGACGCATGTGCATGTATGTGTGTGTGCTTGTGGAAATAGGCATGTGTGCGTTCATGTGCATGTATGTGTTTTTGAGCATTTGTGTGTGCCTGTGTGTATGAGCATGTGTGTATGTGCATGCGT